ACACACACACACACACACACACACACACACACACACACACATGATCATTTTCCTCCAATTTTTCTGCTCCACCACCCCCTTTCTAGCAGGGAACAGTCTGCCGCATTATTGTCATGTCCCTTTTGTGCGGCCACCATATGTCCTCGCACACAATACTTTTACGAAGTCACACCTATCAGTTCCCGACACTTCACTTCAAGTCAATCACGCTTCGCTGCGCTTGGCACAATAACCGGCCGCTTGATTCGTCATCGATTTTTGGAAGATACGGATATTCAGTTGTAATCAAACCCACGATTCAACAAAGAGATCTCGCATAGACCCAAGCCGCCGGACTGTGAGGTTTACGAGATTTGTTAACGACAACTTGATGCGATCGTTCTGGAAATGTTTCCTTGATTTATTCGTAAATAATATTGTTGCGTGCAAATGTGTTTGCCTTCATTTTGTTTGTTTATTTTGTACTGGGTCTTGGGACAAGTGGAAGGAAAAGGGGGAAGGAGGGGAGGGGGGGGGGATTCAGGAAAGATTCGGAGAGAAGATTGACAGATATTGATATTAGAAGTAAATGAATGCATCGTCTAAAGACAGCCGAACTTCCTCTAACGGTCACCTGACAAAGACAATCATCTGAACAAACAAGCACTTCCCACTTGCATCCTGGCATGATTTTATTTCACAATGGCACTGTCCATGACCACACTTTTCTCCTCCACAAAAGGTGGCCGTCTTGGACAATTTCGATTGTATGGTTAACATTCAAGAAGTTTTGTATATTACAGAGTTGTTATTGTAGGCTACTCCAAGTAGGGTATGCACAACAATTTATCTATTGTAAACACTGCAAAGAAAGTCAAATGGGTATAGAGAACGCAGGGAGGGGTGCGTTTACTAACCGCTGCCACTTGTTCGATGAAAAAAGATCATTCATATTCGACTTCATTTTGTTTAGTCTCACAGGAACCACACACGGACGCGCAGTGTGTTTTGATAGATATAGAAACTCTTTTAGTTTAGTTTTTGTAACAGCAAGAGTTTTATGGCGCTCGCAAAAGAAATCAATCTTATGTGCTCAAGATTAGAAGTGTTTCTAGATTAAACATGTATAGAAAAGAAGTAGAGATAAAACGGTAGAAATCTGACAGGAAAGAAGGAGCAAACCACACCAAGGCACCAGCCAACCACCCTCATACAAATACATGCATTCCCACACATACAAATACTAACATACACACACATACACACACACACACACACAGACGCGCGACCGCACACACACACACACACACACACACACACACACACACACACACACACACACATTGTCTGCCTGGCTCGGAAGATACCTATATTCTTCTTCTTCTGATGTTCTGACAACAACCTACGTTGTCTGTCACTCATGGACGAATCGTGAACCGCAGAGTTCCCCTCTCCTCTCTTACTTTCTTCCCTTCTGTCTTCTCCCTCCTCTTCGGATACCCGGCCTCTGTGGGTGGTTGGCGGGTGCTCTGATTTTGGTTTGCTCCTCCTTATGTTTTTTAATCGTCCTTTATTTTCCTAGACTATTGAATATTTCTTGTCTCAATAGAATCCTTTACTATAAATCAATTTAGGCAATTTCGCTGTATTTCATCAAACATCTATCGCCCTTATCTCTCTTCTTTCTTTTTTTTGTGTTTGTTATTCTTTTGCAACACGTCTAATATTCGGCACTTATATGACCTTAATTTTTGTGTTGCAAGTACCGTAAAACTCTTACTAAAACACAATGTACTTCTTCCTTTTCTCTTTGCAGCAGTGTAATTATTTAGATTTTTGTCTTTTATCAAATTCTCGTGTGGTTTGCTCCTTACTTCTTATCAGTCATTTATCATCCTGATCTCTCCTCTTTTTTTGTGTTTGTCATAGAATTATATATTTTTTCTTGTGACACTGCTAACTTCGGCACTGGCGAGTATATGACCGTATTGTGTTGCAAGTGCTGTAAAACTCTTTTTATTTTTTTTATAGTAGAGGTTTTAACGGCGCTCGCAACTGCATAAGGTCATATGAGCGCCAAGGGGTGGATGTCAACAGAGAAGTCTTTACAGGGAATCAGACTTACTCTGCTCACTTCTCTAGCTTCAACAGCACAAAGTCTGCTTCGACTATCAAGACACCCCGGAAACAGCGGGTCACAAGAGTGTGACAAACATACAAAAGAAGTAGAGGGAAAATGACGATAGTAAGGATTAGGAAAGAAAAAGCAACCGTTCCCTATTGTAGACCAGGCACAGTTATGAGCGTGACATGAACCAGTCCATTTACAATTCTACTGTGCTTGAACGAGAAATGTCCCCCCTTTGGGAATGGCCTAAAGACACTACAGTCAGTGGCACCGCCCCGGGGGTGTAAAACTCTTACTAAAACTACATTTCTTTTTTTGTGTGTGTTTATTATATAACGTAATGTTCCTCCTACCTT